ATGTCACATACTTGAAAATCACAGATAAGTGTGGGACAATTTTAGGCGGTTATTTTTTTAAAAGGAAAAAAAAAAAAAGATCATCAGATCATTTTGTTATAAAATCAGTTTTACTTGCTGAAAGGCCAAAAATGCATCAGGAGTAAGGAATTCTGAGTATAGGTGGCTGTAAAGTTATACATCAGCCTTGATTCTTCAAAAGCAGAGAAAGGAGGACATCTCCTGTCCCCAGTAAATGTCCATATGATGACTAGAATAAAATTAAAAAATGAGTGGAAATGAGTGGGCTTGTTTGGGAAACTAGAATTGTGATCTCTTTGAAAACAAATCCTGCTGTGTCATACCCAACAGATTCTGCTGGTAGCCAGACAAGCTTGCTTTGGCTGTCATAATGACATGTGATCTGGCCTTTTTAGTGTGCCTAAGTATGGGAAGGAAATTCTTAGCCATGGATCTACTTCTGTTGGACTCATATACCCTCTCAGGAGTAGGCTTTTTACAGAGATGTTCACACTAACTTCTGTGTAGCAAATAATGATCCTAATGTGTGTTTTCTGTTGATTTTTCTTACAGAGCACAGTTCTCTCACTTGTGTGTTTCAATCTTAAGAGTCTAGAAGATAATATCTTTAATATTATAGCTAATTGTATTTCCTCAAGTAACTCTGTAATGATTTTGTTCATATTTTTGTGTATGCTTCTTTGATATGTGTTTCTCACTTCCACTTTAGGATTATGCTAAGGAAAGATATGGAGTGTCATCAATGATACAATCCCAAGAGAAACCAGGTCAGTTAAAAACTGAAACAAGTTTTTTTAAAAAGATGGGGGAAGGGCAAGTTATATACTTGATATCTTGAGTACTTGTTTGAGAAATCATTTACCAAACTTCCATATTCAAATCTTTCTGTCATTCTTTCCCTTTATTTGAATACATTTGTCACTTGTGAGGCTGCATTGGGAGTCCTGTGTCCAGTTTTGAGCTTTCCAGTGCAAGGAAGATGTTGTAAGATTTTTGGCACCAGTTCAGTGGGGAGCTACTGAATAGCTCAAGGGACTGAAGCACAGGATCTCTGAGTAGAGACTGAGGGAGCTGGGCTTGTTCAGTCTGGAGAAGACAAAGCTGGGGATTGACCTCAGTACTGTTTAAAGCTACATAATGAGAGGGTGTAGGGAGGGTGTCAAGAAGGTAAAGCTGGACTCTTGAAGGTATGGTAAATGTGTACAGGAGGTTGTAGACACAAGTTGGAACACAGGAAGTTCTTAGAAGGAAAAAAAAAAGTAATGAGTGTGGTTGAATATTGGACCTGGGTCCAGAGAGGTTACAGAGTATCAGTCTTTGCCCTTGCCTGGACCACACAGAATTACAGAATCCTAGCGGTCAGAAGGGACCTCAAAAGATCATCTAGTCCAACCCCCCTGCCAGAGCAAGGTCACCTAGAACACATCACATGAGAATGTGCCGGGGTGGCTTTTGAATGTCTCCAGTGAAGGAGACTCCACAACCTCTCTGGGCAGCCTGTCCCAGTGCTCTGTCACTCTCACAGTAAAAAAGTTTTTTCTGATATTCACATTGAACCTCCTATTCTCCAATTTGCATCCATTACCCATTGTCCTGTCGCTGGTCATCACTGAAAAAAGCCTAACTCCATCTCCCTGACACTCGCCCTTTACATATTTGTAAACATTGATGAGGTCACCCCTCAGTCTCCTTTTCTCCAAGCTAAAGACCCAGGTCCCTCAGCCTTTCCTCATAAGGGAGATGTTCCACTCCCTTAATCATCTTAGTGGCTCTGCACTGGACTCTTTCAAGCAGTTTCCTTCACAGCTGGTCAGTTTTTGTTTCTATTCATCACTGCAAGCTTGTCTTTTTTTAAAAAATAAATTGCTATTATTTATAATGTACTGAATACTGATTTCAGTTTTTTTTCTTTTTTTGGAGTAAGTTCTGCTATGGCTTGCTGCAGCAGTGCTCTCTCTCATGAGTAGGATACCTGTCTGCTTATGGAGCCTTCATTACTTCTGCATATGACCACCAAGTCCATTAATATATATTAACATTGATGGCTTTTATCATTAGTTACACCGCTGTGAATTTCAGCTAATCCTCATTTTATATTGATGGGGAATTGGGATTCAGAAAGATTTGTCAGCTAGAGAGCAGTGTCCCAGGCCAACATCCCAAGAAATATTAATCTTCATGTTATTCAGTGCATGAAACAGGAATGAGGAAAGGTAATAGGCTGGCTTGTAACTTCTTCATAGTGAAATGTAAAAAAGGAACATAATATGTGATAGGTGATTTTTTTTCTCCTCTGAATAGTTGGTTTGGGTGACCTCCCTTAGGAAGGGAAATGCAGAATGTAGGGAAGAGGAGGAGCTACAAAAACAATTACAGGTTGAAACCAGCTGAAGAGGAACATTATGTCAAGGACAAGAAAATCACTAGAGACTGTATTAACAGTCATTAAATAAAATATATACTAGCTGTCAAAGAAAGGGAACTGAAGTTGAAATTACACTGTAAGCCAACTCAACTGCTGCCTACTGTGGGTTTCCCTCTTTGTGATGCTGGGTCTCCTGCTGATCCATTTCAATGTGCTAGTAATAACAATTTGTTTAGCCAGCTTAGCAAAGTGAAAGGAGTTGTCTTAGGGCTCTGATGGCTGCTGGAAGGGGCAAGAACACAACTGACCACAGTGACACATAACAACCCATAAATTGATGTGCAGTCACAATCTAAAATGTATAATAATAAGAAAAAGGAACGTCTCCAAATTAGCATCTGGCTGCTTAACCTGCACTGCTGACTAGGCTGAAAGATTTCCCTGGTGGGGCTCCTCTCCCTGCACTCTTCTGCAGTGGTGTTTGGCTCACTAGAGTTTCTGCAAGCTGTGTTTGCTCTGCCAGCTTCATTCACACCCCATAGCAAACAGCTGTGTAGGAGACCCAATCTGGCAGGCTGAGATGGTGGATCAAATGCTACTCTCCTGGAGAAAGTCTACCCTGCCAACTCATATTCAAAAGAAACACTCAAAAATACTATGGAGAAAAAAATATATTGAGAAGGAAAATGGCAAAAGCTAAAGGAAATCTGAAAAGCACTGAGTACTGGACTTAGGTCTGTTGTCCTCTTTACTCTTTGTTTAAAAACAAGGTGCCAGCCAATGTATGGACAAGCCGGAGTAGGTTTTCCATTCAGCCTAAAACACAACCTACAAGACTGCTGCTGTTCTGTTTTATAGAAGATGGTTATCCAGAACACCTAAATCAGGTTAACGTTAAAATCCAAAATACCTATAATAAAAAGGTTCAAGATCAGCCTAGTCCCTTACTTGAAACTAATGCCCTCTTTTTTAAAGATTCAGTAGTTCCTGCCAGGGAGAGCTCTCATGAAAGGACTCACCGGAGGGTGAAATCATCACTCGGCATCAGTGCTGTGTATCTGCTTTCCCCAAAGTATTCTTGCATTGAGTGTGTTGGAGGAACTGCCGCTTGGGGCAGGGGGTGGCAGGGAAGCACAAATGTGTGCATTCCCATCTGTCTGTACTGTATTAATTTTGTTTTTTTTCTGAAGTCTGTGTGGATACCTGCCATTTCTCAGTCAGAATAATGAATTGTGGTGTGACATGTGCAGATCCACATACCGTCTGGTCATTGAAGCCAGCAGACAATACAGACAGCACAGACCTGGGTAGGAGCTCCGTTGGACATCTGCAGCACAGTTGCTTTAAGGCTTGCTGTAGTAGCTGCACTGTCCTGAAGATAGCAGCTGGACATGGGAAGTGAAAAGCTTAGAGTGATCAGAGCAAATTGCTCTCCCTTTCCAAGGGATAGGCAAGGTCCTTTTACCTTGCCCATAGATTTGTGTTCCTCTGCAGGCTCACTAAAAGTCTTTTCACATGTTCAGAAAGTTGTTGCATAGATGCTCCACCCTGCCCTGCTGGTCTCACACACACACCTGTGCCTTCATGTCTTTCCTGGCTGCTTAAGGCTGTGATTGCCAATAAAACTACATCTGCCTTTCTCTTTTTCTCCCTTCAGCGCATTTACTTTCATGTCTGCTCCCTGGAAGTTGCTTTCATCTTATCCCACTTTTGGCTTTCTGGGTTTTTTATTAATTTATCTTATTTTTTTCAAATGTATCCAACATTGTAAAGACGCTTTCACTTCACAGAGATGGCAGAAATATTGATCCTACTGTTGAGAACTCCATGATATGAGATAAATGAACTTAGCAAGCAGGCTGTTGAGACAGGCAGGGAATGAAGGTCTGGGGGTAGAAAAGTGGTTTTGTCTTGTATAATCCAGACAGCCTTTGAGTTTTTATCTTCTCCCATATTTAGAAGATACCAGAGTTCTGAAATAGAAGGTTATTTAGTATGTTGGAAAGAAGAGATTGTGCTACACATGAAGGGAACGAAAAAAATAGTTTCCCCTTAAAATGTCAATGAAGGTGAGATAGCATGGATACTTAATTGGGGATGGAAGTGTAATTTCAGACTTACAGAATGTTTTGTTTGAACTAGGTTTAAAATCTTTATTCCCTTAACTGCAACTGTAGCACAGTTTAAAACATTGTTTTTTATTTATGCATTATTTAATTTGTCTGTAAGGGTTTATGTGGCAAGAAGACAGAAAATGTAATATAGATTGCATTTCTGAAAGAAGAAGTAGGAGGTAGTCTGAAGAGTATTGTGCAAGGGATCTTAAAGGTGAAAGCAAGAAGCTTAATTTTGATCATGGAAGAGAGAAATGAACTGAAAGGAGGTCCAGGTGAAATGAGAATATAGAGGAAAGATTTGACTTACCATAAGCTGGTTGGACAAGCAAACATGAGTGACAAAGACTAATGATTGATTACACTAGCAAATGTAGACCTACTGGCACTTTAGAAATGAGAAGAGAAGAAGATTAGTTTTGGGAAGTGTTGAAGGAGGGAAACTGTCAAAAAGTATTCTTGGACAACTGGCTCTAGCTGGCCTTGCTTGAGCAGGGGGTTGGACCAGATGACCTCCAGACGTCCCTTCCAACCTCACCCATGCTGTCGTTCTATGTTCTGCTGTTGGAAAGAATGAGTTTATGATGTATCTTTTTGGATATTCTTTTGTTACCTTTCTAATGAAAGATGAAGTTTTTAATAATTTGTATGATATAAAAAATTTATTAAAGGTGTCTTGTTTAGTCTTGATGAAACATGAACCATTGTGTATCCAAAAGACTTCAAAAAATATTGATCTAATGCAGATGGTCCCTGAAACACTGAGGATCCATAAAAAGTATAACACCTCATTCTGTCTTTACGTTTGTGCCTGGAAAATGTCTTAAGTTTCTAATAATACAGTTTTAAGTTGACTGAGGTAATTTTAACTGAATATCAAAATCTTAGAAATACTAAAGCTTATGGGTTGTGCTGGTTGTGTGTGTTTCCTGTAGTACCGATCAAGTTTGAACATCAGAGTTACTGGCAAGTGATAACATCTTCATTCCCCTTTCTCCCTTCCCTAGTACACATGTGTACACACACACACAATCATTAATACCTTTGAATCAATTTCCTATCACATTTCTCTGTGCACTTTCATTCTGTCCTGGTTTTGACGTGTTTCTCTGAAGAAAAAGCTACATTGCCCTGAGTATCAGCTGAGAAACATTTTCAACCCCCTAAAATTTCCTGTGCAGAATAATAGGCTTGTGGGGCAAACTGACTAGTGCTCGGAAATGGAGGGAAGGAGTCCAGAATGGCAGATGGTAACCTGGGATAGGCAGACTTTGGAATTCTGGCAGGAAAAGTCTAGAGTGGACGTGTCTTAGTATTTGAAACTGATGAAAAGCAGAGGGAATTTGCTTATGTTACAAATCACAGAATTATCTAATAGAATCATAGAATATCTAGACTTAGAAGAGACCTTTAAGTGTCTGTATCTCCCGGAAGAGTGTTTTTATCAAATAAGCAGGGTTTTTAACCACATAGAAACTGTAAATGAGTGAGTGTATCTGTTGGAACTGTTGAGGTTCTCTGCAATGCTATCTATATATCCTCTAACCGATTTGTAGTTACTATAGAAAATCAGTATTTGAGACCATGCAAAAATACATTGACCAAAAATCTATGAAAAAAACCACCAAGTGCGTTTCAAGGACTAGTGACATGCAGCTAGCGTATTGGCAGTTTATAGTGATTGTATACAATTTTTAAAGTCCTGATTTGTTTATAGATATTTTCATTGATAATGTTTATATTTTCCTTTACGATACAAAATCTGTCGTACCAAAGCTATGCATTTCTATTTTTATTTAGCTTTCTTGGGTACATAGAATTTGAAGTGTTCTTTCTGATGAATTCTGGCTCCTGCAGTGACAGCAGTTTTTGATCTAGTTCTCTCTTAAAAGAGATTTAACTGATTTTACACAGTAATAACTCTTGTTGCTCCAAAATGCTGTTGTTTTTATAAAAAGAAATCTTTAATTTCTAATGCTCATTTTCTGTGATTTCTTTCTTGTCTTTGTTTTAAACAATAGTTATTTTACTGTGATACCTTACTTAGGGAGGTACAGAGAATGGTCATGTCACCTTTGAGTCTTTATTTTGCTGTGTTCAATGTACAAACTTCCACATCGCACATTGGAGCAGAGCAGACATCCCTTAGCTAGCAGAAATCCAGACTAATAAGTGCAGGCAGTGCAGTGCAACACAGTGAAATCCTATAAAAAATAGTGCCATCATGCAGGGTCCTGCCATCCATGAAAAGTCTTGCTTTTGTTGTAGTGAAATTTGACCCTGCTATAAAAGTAAAACAATAAGCTTGAACCAATTTAATACTACTTGCTCAAGTACAAATCACTGAGAAAGGAAATAGGATCCTGTGTGTTTTCAGTACAGCTATTACACTGTAGATAAAAAAAATGAATGTTTTAGATTTATTACTGAATTTTATCAATGATAGAGAATGTATGTGGAGTTTAAAGTGAAAAATGTTTTGCTTCAAAAAACAAAACCGTTTTAAAATGTGAGTTTTTTCTGTATTTCAGATAGAGTTTTGATTCGAGTAAAAGACTTGACAGTGGAGAAAGCTGATGAAGTGGTTTGGGTTCGTGGCAGAATTCATACAAGCAGAGCTAAAGGTGAGATGCCTTCTGGGTTTTTATTTTTATTTCCTGATATTGTTAGTATAGCCTGCATGTTTATTTTGTTTTCATGACCTGTTGGTTATGTCTTGCTTACAAGAAAACTTTGCCACCTGGTTACTGAGTGTTCCCTTTGACTGGTTATTTTCTCTTTTTTATCCACCTCTTTTTTCCCAAGAGGGAAAAGGAAATCTTGTTTTCAACTGGTTGGAAATGGGTTATTACTATTACACTGTAGTAAAAGTCTATTTTGGTTTTATCATATTACTAAATAACGTGTGGGCAATTGTAAATAATAATAATTTAAAAGTACTATAGTCATTCTTCTTTAGGAGTTTTAACAGTTGTAGATAAAACATTTACAAGCTCCTACTGTAAACTGTACTTTTATTATAAATGTATCAGTTGTTAAGCCATATTTATTCTGCTGCATGTGAATAATTTCACTATACCTTTTCTTTGACAGGAAACAAAAATCTGTGTTAAAAATCTCAGAATTTTTACTTTCAGTTACCAGTATCTGATTATACCCATTTGAACTTAAAATAAAAAACATCATCTTTCTTTAATAAGAACCTTTTATAGGTTCTCAGCAGTGGGGGCTGTCATACTTGGCTTTCTGGCAGCCATATTTCCTCCCTGGCATCAGTCCTCTCTGGAGATCAGTTTGCCATATGCAAGCTGAAATAGACTTTGGCCTTTCCAGTTGACATCAGATGCTGACAACTGTTGTACTGGTTTCAGTTATGTTTGGCAGCTCTGTAGTGAGATATAAATACCTTGGCTTCACAAGAATTGAAAGAAAAGAGCATACAGAAATTATCTTCACAAATTAAACCTAACAGTAGTATTAGAATTGGGAATGATGCAAATTTGGGGCAAGAATCCAGTAGAGAGTATTGTCACAGATTAATTTCTCTTTTTTGAAGCTTTGTTTTCTTAAAAAATGCCCCTCTTAATGAATGTCTGTGTTGCCAGCAGTTAAAATAGGGAACTGCTTGTAAATACATGCCTATAATATATGTTTTATCTTGTATTAGAGTATTTAAATTTAGGGAGTCCTCTGTCATTTCCTCAATTGTTCTGTAGTGTGATCTTACACGGAAGTCTCTCTTTGCTATGTGTGGAAATCATCAACCCCAAAAGCTGTGAATGCCTCGGTCTTTACCATTTAAAGTTATTCATACAGGAGACACTATCTAATTCAATGTTAATATGCAAATCAGAGTATCCTTATGGCTTTTTCTTTTGCAGCTGTAGGAAGAGTTCAGTCTGTTAACAGAATTTAGTTTATTACAAACAGGTGTGTATGCAGACACTTAAA